AAAGAAAATGCATATTTAACAGTATATTGGATCCGGACTTCGGTCTTAAAGGGGAAGCTGTCCAATGTTCGTCCTGTCGGCCATTTATATTAATCAAAAACATTGAGAGAAAATCGCTCACTGCTCTTGACTAAATCATTTTTGTAACTTTAATAAGAAGAAATAAAAAATAATAATATATTTATATATATATATGTATAGAATCTATACATAATACACATGTTAATTCTATCTATCTGTCTATCTATATTAGATTAACACCGTGAAGACTAATTAATTTACACAATGTATGTAGCGTTTCTTATTTATTGTAGTTTTTTGTCCTATTGCTTGCAATTAGTTTCTTATCCTTATTTCATCACTGAATGTTTATTTATCTCAAGTGAGCTTGAGGTTTTTTTTGTCTCTTTTTAGACTTGTATTAGTTTGATATTGACATTGGTGATAAGGATTATAAAAATTCTGTGGTATCAAAGATTTTAATATCATAAAAAACCTTTTTACAAGGAAAAAAATAACTATACCGTGATATATATCGTTACCATGATATAAAATTAGTCATGTCGTGATATAAGATTTTGGTCATATCGCCCACCCCTAAGGTCCAACTGAAGGTATACTTAAGTATATTTGGTTGTGCTAAAGTGGAACTATTGCAAGTATACTTCAGGTACACTTTAAAGTGTCATGAAACCCCCCTGTTTTAGCTCTGGTCTTTCACACCTTAGATCTGAAAAGATGCCAGAAATGGGTGTGTAAAACTGTGGAAAAGTGGGCGGGAAGAGGGGAGAAAACAACCAAAAAAACGCACTCATTATACAGACAAATGAATATTAAAATATCTTGAAAACAGAAAGAATAAAGGCATAGTTACTTTTTGTTTACCCTTCTTTGAATTTTCGCTCTATATCATTGTTTGCTGTACCAGGCTGCAAACATTTTTTTTTCTGCTGTAAAGTTGGGCCTTTTAACATGGGGAGTCTATGGGACTGACTTCTTTTTGGAGCCAGCTTCTAGCGGCCAGTCGATGAATTGCAGTTTTAGTAAATTCCGTGTTGGTTTCACGAGAGAGACAGGAAGGTTGCCGCTTGGTTGAAACGCAAACAACAGAGCTATATGCGTGCGCCGTCTCTGTTTCTGTGTGAGAGGAGCGCACATTTTTTGCCGCTTTATTGGCTTTGAACGATTACACAAACACACTTATATGCGTCATAATCCCTGTCTTTGCAAGTATCCTCATAAACACAGTGATTTAGGAGTAAACAGCTGAAAAAGAAAACGCATATGTAACAGTATATTGGATCCGGACTTCGGTCTTAAAGGGGAAGCTGTCCAATATTCGTCCTGTCTGCCATTCATATTAATCAAACAACAGTGAGAGAAAATCTCTCACTGCTCTTGACTAAATCTCTTTTGTAACTTTAATAAGAAGAAATAAAAAATAATAATATATTTATATATATATATGTATAGAATCTATACATAATACACATGTTAATTCTATCTATCTGTCTATCTTTTTTTTTTTTGCTGCTTTATTGGCTTTGAATGATTATATAAACTTATATGCATCAGAATCCCCGTCTTTGCAAGTATCCTCATAAACACAGTGATTTAGAGAGTAAACAGCTGAAAAAGAAAATGCATATTTAACAGTATATTGGATCCGGACTTCGGTCTTAAAGGGGAAGCTGTCCAATGTTCGTCCTGTCGGCCATTTATATTAATCAAAAACATTGAGAGAAAATCGCTCACTGCTCTTGACTAAATCATTTTTGTAACTTTAATAAGAAGAAATAAAAAATAATAATATATTTATATATATATATGTATAGAATCTATACATAATACACATGTTAATTCTATCTATCTGTCTATCTATATTAGATTAACACCGTGAAGACTAATTAATTTACACAATGTATGTAGCGTTTCTTATTTATTGTAGTTTTTTGTCCTATTGCTTGCAATTAGTTTCTTATCCTTATT